TGAAAATGACAGTCTTGATGCAGTTTTTTCTCTTAGCACTTTTATCATTTACGATGATGCCCTTCCAATGTGTTAAATCTACCATGCTATGAAAACCTCAGTTCAACAGATTTATTAGTGGTGCTAGCCGTCCTGAAAATTGTCTCCTATTGCAGTTTGACTGGCCACTTTTTTTAGTATTCCATATGGAAAGGCATTGTCACAGCTTTTCATTTTTGGGCCAATTCATTATTTGAAGAAATATTTATTAGAACACCCTCATGGATAACTTTTATTTTCATCATCATGCTTTAGATTTCCTATCTTGGGCGATTTGGAGGGAATGATGTCAAGGAGACCACATCTAATATATATAGACGATCGTGACTGACTGACTGACTGACGCTAATTCTAACCATGTTCCAGAAAGGTTAGAAATCTGAAACTTGGTACACATGTACCTTTTGGGGTGCAGAGTTCAGAAAAAATGCTTTAGAAGTAAATGCCTAGGGGGCACAGATTTGAAAGGGAGATGTTTTCAAATAATTTTTTTGCATCAGTTAAACTGGTGAACATGGAAAGCTGAAACTGTCCATGAATGTGACTACTGATACAAGGAGTTAAAGAAAAATGTTAAGTCTCGATACGTCCGCTGAATAATTTTTTGGAGGGGGGATGTTTAAAAAAAATTTGTCATGGCGAATTGGACAGAAATGGAAGGTGAAACTTGGCACACGCACAAGTGACAATATTCTTGAGTTGGCGTATTTTCTCCATCCAGCAAAACAAAGGGCGCTATAAAGTTTAAACTTGCCAAAAAAGAACTTCATGGATGGGTGAGTAAAGAAAAAATTATACCTTTTCTATATATAGAGTACCGTGAGTAGCTGACTGACTTACATAAGTCGCTATTCGCATGCTGAGTTAAGGAAAAATTCAACTTTGGTGATACATGTCATAGGGGCACACCTTTTCCGGAAACATATTTTCAAATAGTTCTCTTTGCTTCGTTCAAACGGAGAGACATGGAAAGGTGAAATCTGGCAAGAACGGGAATGCTGACGCATTGAGCTCAAATGTCATATGTCAAGTTTCCAAAATATTTTGGGGGCATATTTCTGAGGACGTAACGTTTTCACAGAATTTTTCATATCCCAGCGAATCGGGCAGAAATAGAAAATTAGAAGTCGGCGCACGCATAACGGACGTGATGTTGATTCAAGGAGAAATTCAACTTTTGGTGTGCGTCTCCTCAGAGCACATCTTATGTGTGTGTCGCTTTTCCAAAGACAATTTTTTCTCCGCAAACAAAAAGAGGAAACATATGCAGCTGAAACTGGGTGGCGTGGAGTTCCTTGAGTCTACATTTCAGAAGAAAAGAAATTTTCGTTAAAACCCATCAGGAAACTTTTTTTCTGTCCCATTCTCCTGAATTTTTTTTGATCCAACGAAACAGAGAAACAAATTTAAACTTCGCTCAGAAGTCCATGTTTGATGACTGTGTACAGGAAAAATCCTACTTTTGAAATATGTCTCTTTAGCGTAGTTTATTGGATGGAAGTATTTCAAAATCTATTCTTCACCCTGACAAAAAGGGACACATGAAAATATTTCAACTTACGCACACTGGAAGTAATCGAAGTAATGATTTTCATAAAAATGAAGACTTTCGTCCCCATTTGTCACGTATTTTAATGAAGACGTACTTAAAACGCGTGTTTCCCATGTCGCCAAAAAAAAAAGAATTAATCACTGACCAAGGTAATTTAGCGCCGAAGGCGCCACCATAGCGAGTTTATTTGCCCGAAGGGCAAACAAACTCGCTAGTGGGTGCATTCAGTTGCGACCCGAGCTATAACGCGAGTCACGACACGAAACACTGAATGCATCGGGTGATGACGCAGGAACATGACCCGAGTTACGTGCTATGACCCGATCTCCGAGATTGAGTCATTATCGTTGGGTCATCACTCCAAACATGGCGACATCCATGGAAGGCTTCCAGCAGCGAGAATACGTACACAGTTTCGGGGAAACGTGCAAATAAAGTTGTGAATGATGCCAAAGGATGTCACAACGGCTGTTTCTTTCTTTCATCTAGGTAATATGAATTGTAATATCCCGAAATTGCTTTTGAGAAGTACATAGGCTTTCTCAAATTTGCTTCGAGAAGATTCCAATTTCGTATGGAACATTTTTTATCGTTGGCTGACGTGACGACTACCTTGAGTGGCACCACGATGCAATAAACAAGAGGGTGAGGTCGAACTCGGGCATTGTGAATATCCCGGAGAGGTAACTTGATCTTGAAGAGCATTCTGTACCTCTTCACAATTTTCTCATTTCAACTCCCTCTGTTGTTGCTACTACACAGAAAAACAGCTAAAATTCGCTGATTAAATGACCCAATGCATTCAGAAGGTTGCGTCAGGTGTCAAAGTGGGCTATGCCACGAGTCATGACTCGCTCAGTTAGATCGAGTCACAACTGAATGCGCCCAGTTTATGATAATGAGGAAACTAATAATGAATTAGCCAGAGACTTCACCTTGTATGGGACAGGGAAGAATCCATCCTTTGAGAGGACTGGTCTTGGAAACTTAGTCTTTGGTATGATTTCATTTTTAGTCCTTTGAGAATGCATGCTTGAAGTAGGATCCTAGTTGTTAAATTATTACTCTCTGTTTACAGAGGCAGTTGGTCACAACAGCAAGCTCCCATAACCAGCTCAGAAAGATGTATTTAATCAAATTGGAGAGTGGCTCCGATTTGCAAATACCAGATTTAAAATCAGCCAAAATAAGTTTTGTTTTCATTTTATCTGCATTAATTCAAATAATCTGAAAAATGTAAAAGCTGAACACAGCTATGTCAAGTCATAATCATGCCTGAATGTTAGATGNGTGACCTTTGACCATTCGTCACAGTCAGGTGCTTGACCTGAGAGTGCCAAAAAGTGGCTTCAAGGCCCTCCCTTGGGGTCCTCTACAAAAATTACAAGCCAGAATTTGATTCCCGGGGGGGTCGATTTTCATCTTCCCTTAGTACCTTAAGCCGCTTAAATAATTTGATATGATGCGACGCGCCCACAGAATGGAAGCGGCTAAGCAGCGTAGGTCTGCACTAATCAGTGAACAATGTAAATATATTAATGTCGAGAGGAGAACTGAGTGCAGGTAGCGTAGGGCTGATTTAATTGCAGAGCAACGTGAGATTGTTTAACGCTACGGAGAGAGCTGCGCTTGTACTCGTCGAACCACCATCCAATACTCGAACTGCAGTGGCCCGGACGCCCAGCGTTCCAACCGTTCCGCACAATCTTGGAACTATGTTTGTGGAATGCCATGTTGAGCACTGGTGGTCTATTCATTTTGAAGACGAGAAAAGCAAGCTTTGGTACAGTTGTTGTCCTAATGGTAATAAGTTCCTTATGATCCCATTGGAGTATCCGCCAGAGATCAAATTGTTGTTGATGTGGGAAGATGCAAGCGCACGCGCAATTTTCCCGAGTTTATCAGGCAGTACAACAGCGCAAAGGCGTATGCCTCCTTTGATGCAACAATTGTTGACATTCCCGGTAACGGCCATACTGCTTAAAAATATAAATATCTGGCGAGTTATATCACGTGGCGACGTTCAACATTTTCATCACTTTGTTTCTCCGCTAAATCAAAATCAGCAACCAGCGTCGGCTCATTTCTACGTTCATGATGCGGACTAAGCGGTTCAAATGCAGCAGCATATTGAAATTCATAACGGGATGTCCATCGTTTCCTCAATGACTGACAAGGTGTCACTGGTATAACATTATTGTACACTACTCTCATTCACATATTGAGCGGCAGATGACAGAATGTTTATGAGCGTTGCGTCGACTGGAATTGCTGCAACTCTGCGACCTGGTGCTATGCTCTGTTACACGACTTGCCTTGGATCTTCTCAAGCATAAAACGTGTCGTTCATTGCGCTAAAGTCAGGCGGTGAATCGAACTACCGACGTCATCATTTGTGACGAAGCACCGATGGCGCCTGCTGAAGCGCAAGCAACGATAGAGCGGGCGTTGTGAAACTCGATGGGCGGTGACTGTCCGTTCGAGGGTAAACCAACTTTGCTTGGTGACTACCGTCAAGTATTGACGTTCGTTTGCAAGGCATCTCATGGTAAAATCTGGAAAACTTGCATTAAAAAGAGTCTGTTGCGGTCATAGTTCCGCACGATTCATTCGGTAGAAAACGTGTGCTGCTGCAAATGCAATTCCTTTTGCTCGATGTTTGCTCGATGTTCACAACGGAACACTCAGGCGAGTACAGGGCGGTCGATCTGTGCTCTCCATGTGTTTACGAAAAGATTCCATGTCCGATAAAATATTGAACTTGCAATTTGGCCAATAGCATAGGATCTACGACGCCGCTCAAGCTCCGATGCAGCTTGCGCGCCATTGTGTCCAAAGAATGTACATTCCCCTCTGGTCGATGATTACGTGCTGTCTCGATGAGAAGGCGAAATGTGGACTCATTACAGTGGGCGCATTCAGTTGCGACCCGAGCTATAACGCGAGTCACGGCACGAAACACTGAATGCATCGGGTGATGACGCAGGAACCTGACCCGAGTTACGTGCTATGACCCGATCTCTGAGATCGAGTCATTATCGTCGGGTCATCACTCCAAACATGGCGACATCCATGGAAGGCTTCCAGCGGCGAGAGTACGTACACAGTTTCGGGGAAACGTCAAATGAAGTTGTACATGATGTTAAAGGATGTCACAACGGCTGTTCCTTTCTTTCACCTAGCTAATATGAATTGTAATATCCCGAAATTGCTTTTAAGAAGTGTATAGGCTTTCTCAAATTTGCTTCGAGAAGATTCCAATTTCGTATGGAACATTTTTTATTGTTGGCTGAGGTGACAACTACCTTGAGTGGCACCACGATGCAATAAACATGAGGGTGAGGTCGAACTCGGTCATTGTGAATATCCCGGAGAGGTAACTTGATCTTGAAGAGCATTCTGTACCTCTTCACAATTTTCTCATTTCAACTCCCTCTGTTGTTGCTACTACACAGAAAAACAGCTAAAATTCGCTGATTAAATGACCCAATGCATTCAGAAGGTTGCGTCAGGTGTCAAAGTGGGCTATGCCACGAGTCATGACTCGCTCAGTTAGATCGAGTCACAACTGAATGCGCCCAGTTTATGATAATGAGGAAACTAATAATGAATTAGCCAGAGACTTCACCTTGTATGGGACAGGGAAGAATCCATCCTTTGAGAGGACTGGTCTTGGAAACTTAGTCTTTGGTATGATTTCATTTTTAGTCCTTTGAGAATGCATGCTTGAAGTAGGATCCTAGTTGTTAAATTATTACTCTCTGTTTACAGAGGCAGTTGGTCACAACAGCAAGCTCCCATAACCAGCTCAGAAAGATGTATTTAATCAAATTGGAGAGTGGCTCCGATTTGCAAATACCAGATTTAAAATCAGCCAAAATAAGTTTTGTTTTCATTTTATCTGCATTAATTCAAATAATCTGAAAAATGTAAAAGCTGAACACAGCTATGTCAAGTCATAATCATGCCTGAATGTTAGATGATGATATCATGGGAATGTGTAGTAAAAGCATAAGAGCCTGGATATTTCTTAGCATGGGCTTATTCTATGTCATGGGCATACCATATTAGAAGTGTCATCACAGCAGTCAGTTTAGGAATGTTTCTTGTTCAAGGAGAAAGGTGTGATGGGGAGGCAGACGGATGGCAATCTAGAAGTTCAGCGTGGCTTGTGATACTTGATATCTAGATCTTTTGATATGACATGTGATAGATGAAATAAATACCAGTGCTCTGCTGTCAAGCAAAAAATTGTATTTTCATTTTTATTCATGGGTGAATTCATAAGCACCATGCAGCAGTATTGACATTATGTTGATATAACATTGACATGATGTTGAGTACTCAACTGAAGCACAACATGTATTCAATTTTGCAGCAACGTTGAGACCTGTCTCATTTCAACTTTGAGACAATGTTGATTCAATGTTTTGTCAACTTTCTTCAAGATTGCCTCAATATTGTGGATGTTGAGACTTCAATGCTTTTACAACTTTGTATCAACATTGATGTGCAGACTGGGTCCTTACTCTAAGCAGAGGGCCATCAGAAGGTAGCCGCTAATGCATGCACTGAATTTTTGTTTGTGAATTAAAGTAAGATATCCAGGTCTCATCTGTCGCGATGATTCATTGGCAGAAAATCTCCCCATGTGGTTCCTATAGAGCCAACAACTCAGAATAAACTTCCACACGATCGAGTCTCTGTTATGGCCCCAACAGCCGCGGTACACATCGTGCAGAAATCATGCTCACTACAAGACGGTCACGTAAAATTTCATGAACTTTTCTGGAACTGATACATACACTTGCTGCAATCTCGCGAATGATGATTCGTCTGTCTTCCATTAGCATTTTTTCCACAGCGAGAACGTTTTCTTCGTGTTTGGTCGACCACTGCGGAGGTCATCTCCAAGACTCATTCTTTCATTCTAGAAGCAATCAATCCAGCGATAGACGGTACTTTTGTATTCAGAAGATTCATCAAAAACAGGTTTCAAACGTTGAATAATTTTAAATACCTTCCTTCCATAAAAAGGTGTCAGCTTTTCGAGAATTTACCGCGTCTTCCATTACTGACAAAGTGTACCCTACGTGAACACTGACAACTTCTTACTGACACATGCCCAGTGAATAATATTTTGAAGTCATTTTAATTACAAGCATATGTGACCAACTTTGCGGTAGGCGTTGATCAGTCGTTACAGTGATAAAAGTTAATTCCCAGATCTTTGTAAACTCCCTAGGTATTTCTCCAGAACATGAGGAGAATTAGCGTCAATCATTCACGGTGCTCTATTTAGACATTTCAGGAGTTTGCACCCCATCCGACCAGAAAACAAAGATTTGCTGCGCCTCGTTCCTTCAGTTAACAGTTCTCAAGATGTGCCGCCACCTTTAAATCCTGGCTAATGCTACACTATATTAGATGTTTGCGGATTCCTTAAGTTTTCAAAATGCACAGGCACCAGTTGCACTTTCTGCAAAGGATGACTGCCAACAAAAATATTGCAGACAGATTTAAGCGGAGTGTCTTTATATATTGAAGCACCCTCGAACATGCAGTATATGCATCCAGATCGACACGATCACATAATCAATACCAAAAATTGCTACAGGCTAACCGAATTGCCTGTAGATGAGATGAAAGATCTTCATAGCTCGTACTTTCTCGCCGAGAGGGCATATTGATAACTTTCAAAATTGTCTCCCCCGTTCTCAAGACATTGAACATCTCAACTGCATGCTCACGTATTTTCTCAGAGGATGTTATATTGGAGTCTCTGAGGATCCTAAACGCTGCAGCTGCATAATGGTCAACCTGCTGATCTTCTGTCAGTCCCGTGACGTCAACTATTTCTCCACAGCCTTTGCATATAATCTCTGGGATTGCTCCCATGGCAGGCGCTAAAATAGGGATGCCAAGTGATAAGGCCTCCAGCAGCACAATGCCTGTTCCTTCGCTGCTTGATGTCAGCACCATCAGGTCAGCAACTGAGTAGAAGGATCTCACAACGGTTGGAGGCTGGCTTCCAACTAAGAATGCAGTCTCTTGTAACGATAGGGTTTGAATGAGCGTTGATAGATCACCGGCGAGTGAGCCACCGCCTACAAGAAATGCAATGAAATCGGGGATGGATTGCTTCACTTTAGCTATGGCTTTAATAAACACCTGAGGCTGCTTCTCAACCGACAAACGTGCCACAAACAAAACCACAGGGTTCTTTTTCGCCTTGTGCTCAATCAATTTCTCTTTGGTTCCCCCCAAAGTCAATGACAAGATTGGTGATAGTACGTCGGCGGCATCTGAGAGCGACATTTTCACAAAGAATGTGGTATTCGTTGGGACATACAGAATTTCCAGCTTCTCAGGGCTGGCACCTTCAGATATCATCTTCTCTCGAAGTTGCTTCGAGGTGACAAGCATGGTGTCAAGGTGCTTTTGCATACCCACAGCAAAAGTCGTGAATCCACCGTCCAGCCAAATATCAATCCAGTTGTGATTCAAATCCATGACATGCCGGACAGGACAAAAGTAGTTCAGATATGGAAGAAATATATAGGGCAATGCGTTGTTTGACATGAGCATGGCATCGACACGTCTGCTTTCGACAATATAACATACTATTTTGCCAAGTACTATTTTCTCAAAGTGCTGTGGGAACACCCATATGTCCTCTGTGTGCTGAAGAGCTTCGTCCAGCCATACGTTCCCACCTAATGGTTCGGAGTCAATTGTCAGTACTACAGTGACATGCCAGTTGTAAACTCGCATGATCTTAATAATCTCCAAAGCGAATCTGTCGGCACCTCCTGTGATGAGCCAAGGAAGAAAGAACAGCAACGTGCCATCAGCACCTGTTATGGATGATGGATTGGTCTGTGGACGTATTATTTCATTGTAGTATGGATTTTCCATCAAGGTTTCATCGGGTAAAGGAACGCGCAACATGTTGAATGTGTACGATGGAAAAGGTTCCTCAGCCAAGAGACCATGCTCAGCAAGATATGGAAAAGCACTGGATAGAAATTTCCGCTTGGCTTCAGTTACAACGCAATTGGCACAAGATGAACTTAGGGGCTCGCGACATGCACGCTGGGGATCTAATGGCTGATCGCCTGACAACGGTTCATATAGCACCAATTTTCTAACAGTGTTACGTTGTCGAACAGTGAATATGGAGTGGCCAAGATTTAGAATTCTCCACCACAGATGCTAATTAGAGCAAAGCTTGATATCATTAGAAGACATTGATGTATTGAGGAGTTCTTGGGCGTATTTGACATCCCGAAGTTCCATACTTATATCACCATTTTGCTGAAGTTTAGCAAGTACAACTCCCTTTACAACACCTGCGTAGGAGACGGCATCATACTGGAGAACTGGATCTGCCTTGGTTTTACCTTTAATGAATAGACCAAAGAACATTATATGCATAAACAACATTACATTTGTTTGGAGGTAGAGTGAGAGAGGGTCTTTTGGGCACCTACGTCTGTCTCGTAGTGCTTCAGAAATTTGCGGGTCAGTGAACTGTTCGAGTTACTGTAGTATGCATGTTGATCGTTTAGAACTTCCTCTGAGTAGTATCCTGTGACAAACTCTACATTTGGTCGAAGTTGAAATATCCATATCGCCTTCTCAAAATAGCTTGAGTCCACGACATCCCCAGGATCGAGAAATACGAAGAATATATCTATGGGGAAGGATATAATCAAATGCCCATGGAAAAAATTGAGTATAAGCAAGCAGGTTCACATTTTCGAGAAATACCTTCAAAAAATGCTGACTGATCTCCAAATATGGTTTTGGTAACTCGGAAAAGCTCGTAATTGTTGAATGGTGTCATAGCCTGTGGATTGGGAGATGCAGCGTCTCCGTTGTGAAAGAATAATGCAAGGCTTTCTTGATCAACAAGAGTTTCTTTTATGGCATCCTTAAGTTTGAAATTTTCAAATATTATGCCTGATTGAACAGGAGGACAAACTTCTCGCAACTGGCTTACTTCAAATATGACCCTGTCAGCAGTGATGCTGGATACTGTGTTTTTTTGACTCACTAGCACCCACAATATATTTTGCCATGTTGACTTTATCAAAGACATCGCTGTCTCGGATATGAGCTCTAATATAGTATGGCAGGATGGAAATATGGCTTCATTGGTGCTGTTTCTACTTTCTCCACAGATTGGAACTTCCATGACAACAATCACTGTGAATTTGTGAGCAGGATCTTTTCCCCTTTGGGTAAACTTTGTTGAAAATTTTCTTTTTCCATTCCTCACACGATACTCATATTCAAATCGACTGGACGGTACTTTCGTCTCTTTTTGTGCAATCGTATCAACAACATATGCATATGGCGTCATATTCGTCCGAAAGAAACTTCTCATCATTTTCCTTGCTCCACATGGTCTGTAATTTTCACGAAATCGCTCAAATCTACTCATTTGATTGCATGTCTGTGATCCATTGCACCGCCACATGCACAGAAAGGAAGCTGCAGAAACATCAGGTGTATATATTGCCTCCGGCGTAATTTCAATATGCAGCGAATCACCACACCCATTGGGGAAAATAATCCTGAATGGAGGAAATGGAGATACTTAATTTTAAAGACATCTGCACATAGAGGGTGATACTTTAATCATGTGACGCTTTCAAAAATTATTTTTAAATGAATGAGGCAACTTTTAATCCTTAATATCAGCACGATTTATCTCCAAACCTATGAGTTTTTGACAAATCTTGCTGCAGCTGCTTTGCTAACATGGCGTCGCTAGATTTTAAGTTCCTTGTAAAACGATACTATCAAAGTTGTATTTTTCCAGTAGCGGTGCAAAGATACTTTAGAAAGCATTTTGTTTCAAGTGATGCTTCTGACAGAAAGAACATTTTGGATTATGTGGAAAATGCTGATGAGAATAGGAGAGTTTTGGACCCAAGGAAAGACAACTTTGGGCTGGCGAAAAATAAATGAACACCTGATGTCGCAGGAGATACAGAAGCTGCGCTTTCGACCCGAGAGTCCTGTGCAACAGGTATCCCCCAACTCCTCGATTGCTTTTCAACGACTTTTGGCATGTGACCTCGATCCCTGTGCTTCCTCTTTTTGGGAGTATCAAAACGTCAGTGACTTAAAAAAAAAATTCCAGAACATCGGAACCTTTAAAAGCAGTGATTGAAAGTGAAGTCCCGCTCTATCCCTATAGAAATGTTGGAGGCGATGATAAGAAATAATGCATCATGGATCATTCACGCAATTTCGCAAAGGAGAATGCAATTTGATATGGTGTGTCTCTGTTGAAATAACTGCCATCATTCCACAATATTTTTGCCAAATTCCAATGACCTAAGGTTATTCATTGATTTTAAAGAAATTTTGAAAGCGTGGCATAATTAGAGAATCAACCTGTACTAATAACCTTCACTAAATTAAGCCAACCAAAAATCATGCAATGCCTAACACATTCATTCTAGGCCAAAATAGTTACAAGAACAAGTTACTAAGGGTTTTGATGATATCTAACTATTGCCCTTGTATGTGCTTCGATCCTCAGAAATTGGAAAAATAGAAAGCATACTTTGGATTTGTCCATTTTTTTCTTAATCATGTGCTGTGGCAATAGTGTCGAAAGTATATTATTACTTACGCACCCCTTTTGCTGTTTGTCTGAGTACATATTCGAGTTGCTTGCGCTGCTTGTGTAATGATAGCCATGGTATGTACTCACTCACTGAGCATTCATTGCTTCTAGGTGACTGCACTGTTTTCTATTCGAGTAACATCTCTTATAAATACCTTCGACCCATTTCCCTTACATGCATCTTGAGGAAGATATTGCAAAAAATCCCACTCCGGTATATGAATTGTATCGATTCGGGCCTGGAAAAAATCCAGATATAGAAGGCACTAAAAGGATTTCAAGCACAAACTCGTCCACCTTTTCATCTAGTCCATCGAGACGTGGACGCTGATCAATATCTTTAAAGTATTTTAAAAGAATACGGCAAGGCCTTTACCATTCGACCATATCTTCTTGTCAATAAGTTATTTCCCCTTAATGCCGAGCCAGCTTTCATCTCCTGCCTCGCATCATTACTTAGCTGAAGAGCTCAATGCACCCAGTGAAATGGAATCCTTTCTCTCTCATGGGCCGTACCAAGAGTCCCTGCCCTTCTCAGGCCCTATCCTTTTTATTCTTATGGTAAACTAGCTGAGCCCCGGCGCAAATCGAGCAAAATTACAATTTAGAAATTTCTATATTTTACCGCAAATGCTTAATATCCTGAAGGTATATGGTCTAAAGGAAAATGATTTGAACTCCACCACAGAACAATAGCTATAGAAATGTTTTCTCTTGAGTTTAATTGAATAACATGAAGCATCTTAGAAATGTTAGTGTATAAACCTTAAAAATTGGCTTCCAAATATTGTTAGAGTACTAGGCTGATCATAAAGGAAAGGAGCTTTCGCTGCAGTTCAAATAACACTCGTCGAAATTGTTGGCCACTCTGCAGGCGTCAACTATGGTAAATTTGCAACTCATGGTAAACATGTCAGTGGTCTTTTGTATAAGGAACTCTGTTGGTGATAAAAATATATTGCCACGGTCAAGAACTTTCGGCGGATTTTACTTGAATGCCAGCGTTGGAGCAAAGGACAAAGATGACGCTCTGAAAATCGTTCACTGAGACTCTCGAGCTTTTGAAGCAAATGTACATACATACAGTAGGTCCTTGCTGCAGATATCAGTGCGTAAATCTATTGCAAAGAGCTCGAGGGTCTGATTGAACGATTTTCAGAACATCATTTCGAAAGTTACTTACCATGACAATTTCTTATCACCAACAGAGTTCCTTAAACGAAAGACCACTGACATTTTTTCACCATGAGTCGCAAATTGAACAAAGTTGACGCCTGCAGAGTGGCCAACAACTTCGACGAGTGTTATTTGAGCTGCAGCGAAAGTTCTGTTCCTTTTTTGATCAGCCTTTCAATACAAAACCTGTCGGAACGCGACGGTCAGTGCGTAGGTGCCATCGTTGGCTCGGTATTGCCTCTATCTGGGACCAGGCTCATCATAAACATTTAGCTCTTTTTCGCATTTTATTTTTTTGGTTTCGTTGCAGTGAATGACTCATTTGGTCACCATAAATAACGCGTAAACACGTGGGCAAACGCGAATGCTTTTGCTAACAAGTCATTTTTAACTGTGCTGCCAACCATGGTTAGCAGTATGGAGTATACCAGGGGTGTGAAAATCAAATCGGTCTACCCATTATTTTCCCCCGAAATTTGTGCTAACAGTCAATCCAAGCGGAAATTTCAAGAACAGACGGGGGGCCGGATGAACCACCACCGCGGGCCGTATGCTTGACACCCCTGGAGTAAGGAATGCAGCTATGAAGTCCCATGTTCATTCTAAGGAGTCATGAAATAATTCCACATTTTTGTTGGCAAAAATACAGTCGTTTTCGCTAATGGAGGAACCTGGGGTTAGAGTCCTGCACAGGCTGTGGCCCGGCCCGATCGCCCCCTTGCTACCCGACCAGATCTAAGGACTAATTGTTCAAGATCTTCCTCAGGTTGAGCCAGGCGGAATTTTAACCTTTAAATGTTATAGTTACTCTAGTCTGAGAACATCGAGACTCCATGTCATGACTGGAATCTTATGTATGCATGTAATCTGTGACAAGGGAAATAGAAAATTGTTTTACCATGAATAGAAATAACGGAAGTATGAATATTAGACGGGCATGGGACAGTTCGTGCCTTCCAAGGCTCTTCCACTATCAATAAATTTTATCCTGTTAGTGGACTATCGACAACCTCCTGTTTTCACAAAATAACATGGAATTATGAGGAAATACACAATGAAGCAAAAAAAGAAACTTTTAAGGTTGAGTATTGACCACGAGATTGGATTGTAATTTGGATTGCGGATCGGGTGAGGGTCATGAGTTGAATTCGGCCTTGTGGTAGAGAATTTGATTGTTTATAACGTCGTTCTGTTACCTCGTCGCTGGCGACGTCCACTTAACGTAAAGAGTCGTTGCATCAGTTCAGATCCGATTCACAAAGAAAATTGTTTGAGGGACTTTCGTGAGTTAGGCCTGAGCTTAACACTCGAACCTTGGCTAATTTTTTTCCTGTGCTCTCTCTCTTTTGGCGCCCCCTATAAAAATATCGCTCTATAGTTCTGTCCGGTGTTTCATTCCAGGGAGTAAATACATATTTTCAAATGTTCAATGGATAAAACAGCTGCCGTTTTCGCAAGTGGAGGAATCGGGGGTTCGAGTCCTGGAGGGCTGTGGCACGGCCGAAACGTCCCGACCCGACCTGACCCGCAGACCATCTAGGGCCGAACTCTACCATCATTCTTCGGGTCGGGTAGAGTCGAGCCGAATTTTTTGTGGGATTAGAGTTTCGGGTCGGTGCGAGCCATAACTTGCTTCGGGCCTATAGGGTCGGGTACGGGGAAATCGGCCCGTGCAGGACTCTACCAGGATGGCACAATGTAGAAAAATTTGAATGCTCGTAACTCATCCAGGGTTGAATATATTTCAAATCTGATTGCTTGATCCACCCCTCTTGACCATAGGCTTTAGAACGATGCATAACATGTCAGGATATCCATTTGCATAACGTCATAACGCGGCTTACAAACATACATCAGCGTAAGATATGTTGATATCGATACTTTTAAAGTATGTATTCAATAGATAACAAATCCATACCGCTGCCTCCTCCAAAATTGTTACCATCCATCCTTTCAACATACTCTCGTGCAGCAGGATGAAGGGAGTAAGGCCAACCATTTGGAGCTCATGAAACAACTTATTCCATGATAAATAGTTTCCGATCCCGTTCAACAGGACCTTCATATTGCTCACCTCAGGTTGAGGAGAGACACTGGTGTTTGCCAGCTAGAACTTATAATTCTGGGCGACCATTAATATGATCTGAACGCAAGATTAAGTGGAGAAGAGAGACCAGTCGTGGCACAGGTGTGCCCTCACAATCTTCCCAATATATTCAGAATTATCATCCTCGCCGTATCTAATCATCCCAACCTCGAAATTGATAATAGCTGTCATTGGTACAACATAGCCTTATATGAAAAGGCCATGCACCTAGACATGTCCAAGAAAGTTCGCGGGCCTGCATCGTGAGATGGGAAGACAGTTTGTAGCGTAGGATGCCAGATGCGGCATTGCATGTGTACACCCTGGAATTCTGTCTGCGAGGCCGAGAGCAGTCTCTCACCCTCGTTGTCTACGGGAGACTGACGGGAGAAAAAGCTGCACATGCGCAGCTGGTCGAGTTGTGCGGTTTCTATGGATAATGCGGACAGACGGAATGAAAAACTAGAGAGTATCAGCCTCGGTACAAATCTCCCATTCCATTGACCCCATACCATTGGACTTATCATATTTGCCCCATTCTAAGCATTCAAAGTTGAAATAAATAATAGCTGCTATTGGTACGTCTTAGGTCTAGATGAAAATACCCGGACAACCATACGTGTTCTCGATTGTTCACACGTCCGCAATACGTGAAGATTTGAGAACAATATGAAGAGGAGGATACCAGATGCGGCATTTCACGCCTACCCCTAGCAATCCTGTCTATGCGGCCAGGAGCAGCTACTCTCCACCATTGCCTACTATGGATACGTCAGCCGCAAGGGCTGGAAAGGCAGTGGATGCTTCACTAGACGACGAGCGGAAAGCTGCACATGCGCAGTGGGTCGTGTTGTCCGGTCGCTATGGTTACGGCGGACTGACGAGATGATAAAAATAAAGTGACAGCGTGATCGCAATGTCTGCCATTTCACTAAAAAAACTCATGGGAATGGCAGGTAATAAATTTCTAGGCCTCTCGCAGGATGAACCTGGGGTTGCACTAAGAATGGTAGCACTTCACACCCAGAACTCTAAAAGCTAGGGGAAAATGCAAACATCGTGAGAAACAGCAATCATTTTTGAATCTAAACATGAACTTCTCTTAATTTGTGCCCATCCCAGCTACGTCTCTGACCGTTTTAACCCTTTCAGACCTGCCGTCCATTTCAATGGACATTGCATTTTCATTGTGTGTATGGTAACTTCTTGAAATTCTCGTGACTTTGTGCCCCATATTGCGCAACAATGGGCGCGAATATGCATGGCTCAATTCCATTGGAGGCCTTCTTACGTCCGTCAGTTTTGTAATATTCAATTATTTATTTAAATATATGTTATACAGTATACGGTATGATATGGTAAATGTATACAAAACATAAAAACGATTTATATTTGGGTCGATCGGAATGTTCTGGGCGTTTCGAGAACATTCCATTCACCGAGTTTTTTGTTGTACCATCTACCTTCTGCCAACGATTAGGCAGGCTCCTGATTCCATCCCTGTAGAACTGAGCTGGCTGTGAGTCGAAAAAGGCAGAACCTCCCAGCCCAGATCCAACAGTTTCTGCCATGAATCTTCGCGACATACTGCCTTGCGTTGTCGTGGAGGAATCGAACGTGACGGTGCCCTAGCAGCACCGTGAGGAGTTTGTCGGCGAGGTTCTGCAGCCGATCGCAGTAGAAGGCGGCGGTGATGCTGGTATCGGGTTGGAGCAGCTCGAAATAGATCACGCCTTGCACGTCCCACCAAATGCTCAAAATGACTTTTCGGGGTGCAGATCACATTTCGACTCCGGCTCTGGCTGGGCATCAGCATCAACCCAATGGAGCCTGCGTCGGTAGTTGACGTACGGCATCCACTTTTCGTCTCCAGTGACTACGGAGTCCAGCCAGTTGTTTGTGCGCTCGTACGACAGCAG